TCTCTTTATTGGGTCTGGCCTTAAGCTAAACTGGATTGGGTCTTGCCCAACTGTGGGGCATGTGTCAGTCCAATCCAAAACAGGAGCCCCCCCAAGTCGTTGCTTCGAGGTGAGGAGTAATGACTTGAGTTAGCCCAGTTGGTCGACCAAGGGGCAGGAACCATATTGCGAGGAGGTATTTGAGGTCATCATTATTTGGACAAAAAACTTCGACGACGCATAAATGTGTAGCATGTGATTAGTATCGTCGACTAATGATTGCGCGTAGCCTCCTTGGAGGTGCACGGACGTGGTCGAATATGAAAGGTGCGTTTTACGTCGACCAGATTTTTTCTTAAGGTGTATAAAATATCGACGAACCTCCTACTCAGATGCTATTTGGTAACATTATCGAGGAGAATGTGCATGTGGGGAGCCGAAGGGACTTGTCCTTTCACAAGTATGTGAAAGGTCAGTTTTGGAAGTGCCAACTAATAGCTTCTTTTGCCACGTGGGAAGGTGCAATTAACTTTGTTAAGGCCTAGTAGGTCTAAGAGGCTAGGCAATGATAGATTTTTTCCCTTTGTGCTTCCCCATACGAGCAAATGAGCCTATATAAGGGGAGAAGAGGATTCATTTTCACTTCACGAAAATTTCTCTCCTCTCTACCTTTTTCTCTGCAACAAACGTCCGACATAGGAGCATTCTTCGCCGCCGTCAGCTATTCTTGCCTTTTCCAAGATCTTCATTTTCATCCTCCTTATCCATGCAAGTTTTTCATCCTTGCTGTTAGAATGTATGAATTTCTGGAATTTTAGCTTGAGTTTACCGGCGATGCATGAATTTTCCGGTTGAAGTTCATGTGTTTCTATATGAACATATGAATTTCCTGGGAAATTCATGAAGGCCTTGAAGAACATGAATCTAGGATGTTGTATGTCTGTAGATTTTCCTAGGTTGTTATTGATAAACGTCTCATGTTTATAGTCAGACAGAAGGTATTCTCGACATTGAGGGTTTCGTTCTTAGATGTCTGACACGTCATAGTAGACGCGGGGCTTATCCCCTTTAGGGTTTTTACAAGTCGCGTGGACTTGTCCCCGTTTTCGGGGAGGGTTTTCGTCGAGACCCTTTGTCGTTAATAAGGGCTTGAGTTGATGAGACATCCTCGCACTTAATCCTCGCCCTTTCACTTGACTTGTGGTGGAAAGGTGAATTTGATCTTCGTCGAATTCACTTTTACTTCCTCTGCTTTTCAGCTTAAATGACTGATCGAAATGAGGGAACCGTCCCCGATGTTGAGGCGACTACTAACGAGAACATGCCTCCCGCCGAATATGCCAACGTGCGAGTCGCTCAAGGGGACCTTAGTTGGATCTCCCAGGAGCCTCTAGTGACAAAGTCGACCTTTACCGATGAGGAGGCCAGTAATTTTGATCTCCTCGAAGATAGGTCCGAAGATGTATCCATGAGTTAGAGGGCGATTAGTCCAACAGAGAATGACCGCATATGCTCGGTATATCCGGGGAGAAGATTCTCAATGTACGAGTTTGCTTTTAGGGAGGCAGGGTATCGTCTGCCCTTCACGGATTTCCAAGGGGCGATATTTAAAATGGCATGTTCTTTTATGTAATTCTACTCAAGATTTAATATTGATATGACTTAATGTATGGTTTATATTTTCTACTTAAAACTTGTTTTCATGGTATGACTTGATATTCAAAAGGTGTTTTTTATTACTAGATCTCATCATCTATTGGATATCAATACCTAGACATAGGGTTAAGTTCAATATCCGCACGTAGTGTAGTAGGATCGGTGTGAAGTCTTGCTGCTTTATAACTTTTGGAACTTAATATTTTACATCGGTTAATAGACTGAGATATTAGCTGTTAGGTAATTCAATGAAATCATGTTGTTGAGTCCGACAAGAGATATGAATGAGTGCAATAGGTGATAATATTAATAGTTGAGTAGATGAGCATATTAATGACCTATGGTTATGCATGATAAATACATAATGACAAAATCTACCCCTAGCAAGCTTTCTTATTGTTAACACCAAAATATCCATTTTACTTTCTGTCATTTACTTTAACGCGTAAAACAACTGTAAAACTCTTCTTTACTTAACATCTTAAAAACTGTTGAACAAGTTTCAAAACTACCATTCTTTATGGATACGATAATTATAAAACTTACTTTTGTGCTCAGCAATACTAGATAACTCCAAGACTTTCTAAAGCCATGGTTCATCGGGCATCAATATCTTTGATATCTTTCTACCATGGTTTATACATTTCAACAGATCATAGTACTGCAAAAATAAATACATCAACGTCCGACAGTTCAATTAGTATAAAACAAATATTTAAAAGAGTAATTAAATATTTATTTTACCTCTCCCTCACACACGTGAATTGCAGCATGGTGTCCATATATAGGAAGTATTGAAGTGTCATTGGGACCTTCCAAAAACTAGCATGTGTGTGAACATCAGGTCCGGCTGCAAGACGTGGATCCTATGCATGTACATTAACATGAATGGTAGCAACAAGTGTTTTGTCATGAGTCGGAGACACATGACCTCGGGAAGGCGGTCCTCAATAGTACGCGACAATTATCCAAACGTGGGTCGTGAGAGTCTAGTATTCTCACTATTCACCAAAGCATGTTAGGTCATTCAACTATTTCTGTATCTATGTTGTTCTCATCCATTTTTTCTACAATCAAACAAGAAAATACTTATCAAAATTGAAGAAGCGGAAATAATGTATTAGCAAAAAAAAATTAAAAGAAGTATGAAAAACATAAATATTCAAATATTCAAAATCTTGACCAAAACACACCAGAGAAGAATGCATTCATGCACGTACGCTAACCGTCAAATGTCTCAAATTCATGCCAAATCTTATTAAGATCAAACAAACTGTAAATTTGTATTGGATGTATCCTAATGTAGCATAATTATAGCCTATTAAGAATGTGCATGCATCACAAATATATATATAAAAAAGATAAGGATATGAAAAAAAAATACCAATTGTGAGAGATGAATATGCTTAACTTGAATGGAGAGGAGTAGAAATTGATGAAGATCCTAGGTTTGAACGTACATGAATATAACTTGTGAGAAACGAGAGATTTGCTACACTAGTTTTTTTTTCTTTTTGGTTTCTAATCAAAGTTAAAGAAAAGGGAAAAATAGGGTGCGGGTAGTTAATGAATGTGTCGGGATTTTGAAATTTGTTGGTTGAATTCGTATTTCAAGATCCCGGCTTTTTAACTTTGATATCGTTGTAGTTTTGAGGTTGAGTTTATTGTGCTGACATGTGATTGGATTTCAAAATCCGCATTTTTTTACTTGTATTTGTATAGTGTTTTGGTGCACCTAAATTCCAAAATTTAAAGAGTGTTTTAGTCCAACCGAATTCCAAATTTTGGATTTTATAATATTTTAGAAATTTTGTCAAGGTGTGTGACTAAATAATAGAGTGTAATGAACCATCTCCATATAGAGATATAATTTTTTATGCATCTTTCTTTAACCATAGTCATGAGTAGAAGTGGAAATATGTATTGACTAACTTAAGCCTACGACCTAGCTTACATAAGTCCATCCAGCTCAATTTTTTATAAATAGAAAAGACATAGACTTTTTTATAAGTATATTTTGTTTAAAAAGTTAAGTCTCGGGCGATAAAAAAAATTTTTAAGCCTATCAGACCATATGAATTTTTTTTATTATCATTATGTTATGTTTTGTAATTTGAATTAAAATACATAAATAAAATTTAATTATGTTGGAGAACTTATGAAAATAAGATGAAAACACCTTATGAACAATGTCCTAAGTTGTTTTCATAAGTCCTCTGGAACAAATAGTCCCACAAAATTTATATTAGTAGATAAGTTAAAATAAATTATACAAATAAATTTTTTTGTATTTTGTCTAATTAATTTTTTAATTTGTTAGTCTATTTAAATATCTAAAATAAATAGATTTTTATGTAGGCGTTACCAAACATCTGAAAAGATAAAATTCAAGTCAAAAAATAAATTTATGAAAGACGACTAAACTTAAACTTCAGTTTTTTGATATAAACTTGCCCGGGCTTTTCCCACCCCTAGTCATGAGATTTAAGATTCATGTTTAGAAGATAAACATCCTGTGAAACTTATCACGGTAGAAAATCCATTGCAATTTCTTCCATCACCTCTGTTTTTAATAATTAGATCAAAGTGTTGTAAAAACAATTAATGACAAAGAATCTGAATGATACAATTACATGTATATCCTCCGGTCATAATTATAAGAAAAAAATAACTTAAAAATTTGATCACTATTATAAACAAAATCATTAATTTACTCTTCATTTAATTTAAAAACATCTAATATTAGTGAATTCATTAAATATAGTGAATTTTACGAAATCTAAAAAATTAACTATATTTAACTAACTTTCTTTAATCAATGTAAAAGTAGTTATATTTGTTTATAATTGTGACCAGAGTAGTAATTCGTATAGTTACTTCTTTTCACAAAGATATTTTTTATTTGGTATAATTGTGAGAATTATGTACAACCACCAAAACAATAACTTAAAGAGTAAATCATGAAACGCATCAAAGGAACTTTCTTATTTTCAAAGAATGTTGATATCATTGAAGTTATTCGCTTCAATTTACTGATACTTCTATTATACTAGCTAACTTATAATGATAATGTTAGAAGGTTCTCCACATTGTGTTTATTGAATTTTTTGCACTCAAAATGAATTTTTTTATAATTTTAAAAACGAGCTTGACTTTCAACTTTCAAGCACTTCGCCGTATATACACAACAGATCAATCAACAGACTAAAACTCAACTTCCAAGAGATATAATTCAGACCAACCAGTTACATTATGTAATCTGCAGCACATAAACTTGTTGGAGCTTCGCATTATGGAAGATTCAAAGTTATACACAGAAACACAGAAAATAAGTTTGACTAAGGTGGATCAAGCAGAAAAAATAATTATGAACAACATGATGCAGCTTTGGATCCTTCGGCGGGTCTATCAACAAGAACCATTCCTGCTGGTTGTGCTGGCTGTGCCCTTGGTAACCTCTTGGCTGTTTATGTGAGCAATTGCAAGTCAAACAATGTAGCATATGTTAGAATAACCCGGCGTATCTCTAAGAAACACAATCAAAAAGCACAAACAAAAGAATGTAGACATGAAAACATTATATTTCCTCTAATTGTGTTTAGTTAGACAGTCCTTGCTACTGTAAAAACAGGAAAAACATGTTACAGATCTAACAAGCTCATCAACTGCACTGTTTGCTCGTGAATGATTTATGGTTAAATGTCATCATACCCTTCTTCGATCTTATACGTAGAGTAGGAATAATAATATTCATCTGGTGCAGTTCAAAAGGTTCAGCTCCTGGTTTTAACCTTTGATACCACAATACCAGACTAGGAATAATATATTCACTTTGTCACATTTCCTTTTTGCAAGTTTATCTATAGTGCAGACAACAAAAATATCTCGGCCTGCAAAGTACGTATAGGGTCGTATAATTCCTCAAAAAGGTATGTAATAGGATAGGACTCACCTATTTCATAAAATATTTCATTAACATTGGCTGCAGTTTTTGCAGAGGCCTCTATGAAAAACAGACCATTTTCCTCAGCATATACACGTGCTTCCTGCATTGTTCAAGAGACAAGAGTCACAAGCTGATAAGTCAGTGGTTCCAAGAAATGTGGCATATTGGATATCTAAGATATGCAACAGTGTAAGTACAAATAGACTAATAATCATTAAGCCAGAACCAAAAGTGCTTTTAACAGTATATTATATTTTAAATTATCTTGTGTAGGAAATGAAGTACTAGGATTTATGACCCTGAACAATAAGCTCGGTAGAATTATTTTATAAACAAGCTAAAGTCCAAATTACTGTATATAAACATTTAGTTAAGTTTATGCGAAGTTCATTTAGGACCCTTGTTTGAAGATGCTAGTTAGGGTTAGAAAAGGTTTCCACACATAGGGCTATAGAATGTCTTAGAAATTGGACTGAACCAGTCAGGCGGTTGGTTGGTTTAATCTCGGTTATACTATAGTCTTACTGAATCGAATGGACCCGAAACTGAATTGGGTAAGCCGGTTTTCACTTTTGCATTTATATTTTATACTTTTCAATAATTTTATCTGTTTGTCATCCAGTTCATCTATGGCTGAATTAATTGAACCCTGACTGGGGTCTCACTAGTTTGATCTCTGGTCCAATTCTTAAAACACTGACCAAACTAACATCAAATACCACCCAAAAAAAGTTGAAATGTTAAAATTAACAAATGTAACCAGCAGTGTGATATTTGAAAATTTATCCTAAAAAAGTTGCACTTCACACCTGTTGCAGCTAATTACCAATATAGTTAAAGAAGCTATAATTCTTATCATGCCATAAGGGAAAAATTGAAAACACAATAAGACTTACTTCAGCTGTCACTTTCCTCTTATCTTCCAAGTCAGCTTTGTTACCGGCAAAAGCCACGACCATGTTAGGATTCCCTGAAACAAAAGCAGAATGAGTGCATTATTTGAGATCTAATCACTTAACTACAGTGGTCACATACCATGTACTTAATGACCTAAGGAATAAAAAATACATCATATTTGATATTTTTTATCAATATATCATATTTGATGAGATATTTCAAAGAAAGTCCTCTATTTCTCACCCACAGCACTTGCTTGATCAATTATTTCTTTATATAGAAAAGTAAGTCATTTAGAACTGAGTCCTTTAGCAACATGTGCAAGAAAAAAAGTCCAACACTTCACGTTAAACCATTGAATATCATGGGTTAGTTTTAACTTTAAATTTTAACCCAAAGTTCAATAGGTGTTTCTGCTAGTAGAACCTTTATCTGTTTAATTGTTAGGCAATTCTCTCATGTACTCTTAACCACGTCTATGATCTTCTATATGGTTGGTATAAAATATGACTTCATAGTTTCATTGAACTTATCAAAAGTCATTCTAACTGTCAAGTTCATGTAAAATAGAAGAAAATATATTTCACAAAAAGAATACTTAAGAGTATGCTGAAGATTGCTTTACATATAGTTTGCACTAGAAATTTGTAAACAGATAATAAATAGTTTGGTTTTCCTTTTTACAATCTATAATTTTTATTCTCACTCCAGAAAAAAATGTAAGAAAAAGAAAAATTCATAACCAATCAGCATATACCTTGTTTCTGAAGCTCTTGGACCCATTTCTTCGCCCGTGTAAATGAATCCTATAAACAAGAGAAATAATCATATAAAACCACAATAATAAACTAAATGTAAGCAATTAAACAAACACTTCTAAACACAGTCTCTTGAATCTGGGCCCTAAAGAAAGAGAATTAAATACACATACTAAAAGAAAGAAGCCAACTAGTAGAACTGATCTTCTCTTCCTTTTACTCAATTTCAAACATTTTGCACCAATAATAGTTTGATCCGTCATTTATTACACATTTTAATGTTAATATACACAGCAAAACAAATTATATTAAATATTACCTATCTAAAATAGGTAATCAGAAATACCCTAAGAGAAAGATATCATACCAAGTTAGTAATGTCGTAAACAATGATAGCAGCAGCAGCGCCTCTATAGTACATGGGAGCCAAGCTATGGTATCTCTCTTGTCCTGCTGTGTCCCAAATCTCAAATTTCACTGTGGCATCATTTACTGCCAACGTCTGGGAGAAAAATGCTGCCCCTATTGTTGATTCCTGATTCACAATAGACAAAATAAATTCAGCAAGAAAATGCTCACGAGTCTATATGTTTAAAGATTTGGCAATAAATAACAACTGTCAGAACCCAAAACCATTGATGTGCCCACACTACCCATGTGAAGAAGAATAACTCTTGTTCACCCATCTTTTCCCCACGAGTTGTGGTACTAAGTGATTCTTTTTTCGGTCTTAACTCTATGGCTCCCAGGGAATGGGGGCCCTGGTAATCTGAAATCGGCTGAGAGGTAAGTAAAGTCTGGCCAACAATTGCTTCAGTCAAAATTCGAACTCTGTCTCTCAAACGATTCATCTTTAACCAGAGCTCATTAACCCCTCAAGCCTATTTATTGTGAAATCAACATCCAAATGAATGTTTGATAACTAGTAAAGCAACACCCAAATGAATGTTTGATAACTAGTAAAGCAACACCCAAATGAATGTTTGATAACTAGTAAAGCAACACCCAAATGAATATTTGATAACTAGAAAAGCAACACCCAATATGAACTCTTAAGGAAAGTCTATAATGAGAGTAATGACTAATCTAATTAACTACACAATCTAATAGATTGGTAGATATAAGATAATACAATTATATTCAGATCAAACATATAAAGAGTTAATTAAGACTACTACACTACACGAACTTAAGAATCATCTCATTCGAAGCTCCAAAACCGTAACAATTCAATCTCGCTAGAATCCTATCTTGTACAGAGTGGAATTTCTCTAATCTCTTGCATCATATTAGTAATTTTTAGAAACAATTCATTATAAAATCGTAGCAGGAAAACCCCAGTTTCAATTCATTATAAAAACACAAAGCAAGAGCAAAAGGGGCACACAAAAAAAACATGCATGAAAAAAAACAAACAGATTTTCGTGTAAAACCTGAAAACCCCATGAAAAATCTTCAAACAAATTTGAATCACACAGGAACCGAATTAAATTGAAAAGATAAATAAATAAATAAAGAAAAGGAAAACAACCTGAAACTCAAGGAATTGACCCTTGACAAAACGCAACACAAGGCTTGATTTTCCAGCACCCATATCCCCAAGCAGAACCTGAAATTGAATACACCAAAACAATTTAAAACTAAAAATACATATGAATTATCGTTAGCCAAACACTAAATTGAAGAAAAAAAAGAATCAATAATTGATAGATACCAATTTGGCGTTAAGGTTGCTGTGTCCGATCGTAGCCATTGAAGTGAAATTGGAGCGATCGGAATGGAAGAAGCTTCGAGAGGAAGAAATTGAATTAAGAAAGAGGAAGAAGATGGTGAAGAAGAAGACGCCGAAAACAGAGTCCTTCTCCAAGTTGTATTGTTATAGCTTTTAGCTTTGCGTGCAAACGCGCTTTTCTTTTATTTTACATTTTCTAGTGTTTTTTGTTAGAGACAGATTCCACTCAGCTTTCACGGAAAACACACGAATCATTCAAAAGATTAAAATTAAATAAACTAGCTAATATTTATTGGATGATTTTTTAAATTGTTTTCTCTTTTGTAGTTTTTTTTTTCTACTTACATCTACTATATATCCGGTTACGTCTAAAATATAATTTATAATTTAATCATAATATGAAAATATTATCGATCATCTATATTCTTAAAAATATTTACATTCTTCACTCTGATGATTAATGTATCTCTCAAATATTTATTGCATGTAACAGTGATATAAGAAGTGACATTTTAGTATTAAATTTAGATGAGTAGGTGTTCCGGTATGGGCCTCACCTCGGCAGGCCCAATACCAAAGGCGGCCCAGCAAGCGAACTGGGCACCCCCGGCACGCGCCTTCGGACGAGCTGGGCTGGACGGACGGGCTCAAGCTACCGCTCCACGTCCCCTTTTGGCGTCCATCGCGCCGGACGAGCAAGACCACCCCGGGCTCCCTCCGCGGGAGAATAACGTGCTCGGCGCACGTTCTCCACGTGCTCCCCTCCGCAGGGACACGTCATCGGCCAACCGCCCACCTCCGAAAGAGCAGGTCAAACCCACTTTCCGGAGACCTAGGAGCGGTTGAACTAGGGCGAAGACCACGTCCTGGTCTTCACTACGCCACGTAAGCCCTAGCAGTCATTAGGGTTGGGCCTGGTCGTCTGGCCCACCTCGAATGACCGTTGGCCCAGCGCTGGGGTCTCTCTATAAATACCCTCTTCTTCAAGAGGGTCAGGTAACTCTTCTTGCCCCTTTTCTGTACTATTGCTTCCTCTCTGTCCAACTTCTTACTTGGGCGTCGGAGTGCTTTGCAGGTACACCCCCCTCCTCTTTCTCACCCCGGCGAACAGATAATAGCCCAACGGTGTGTGGCCAGTCCGTGATTCCTCCTGATCAGGTCAGATCAGTGGCGCCGTCTGTGGGAAGCTGAAACTTCCCCGTTACTCCGAGCAGAAAAACCAAAAGTTTCACCAAACCTCCACGGTCATGGCCAGCCCACGCCGCGATGACACTCCGCACGATCTCGCGCTCAACACCGCCACCAACGGGAAGCAGGTAGGAACGGCACGCCTGACGGAAGCCGACGAAAGGGACGGGCGAACTGCTTCACCATCGTCCGAGGAACGGCCCCTACATGCCGACCATCGCCCCCCGAGCCCGCCGGCATTCCACCCCGTTCCCATCCCGGCGGGAGCAGACCCAACGGTAGCCGCTCTCTTTGCAGCCATCAACCAGACGAACCAGCTGCTGTCCCAACAGAACGCTAGAATTGGAGCATTGGAACGCGGCGGCTCCCCGAGGTACCCCCAGCGGGAAGACCAGAACGGAGGTTCGAGGAGCCCCTCACCTCGACTCAGGAACCGCCGACCGCGGCCGGAGAGACGCCGCCCACAAGCGGCACGGGAGCGCACCAGATCCCCGGCAAGGCACGGTCGCGGGAGGAACCAGAACGCCGCGGCGACCCCAACCGAGGAACCCCGAGGCGGGAACTCAGGCCGAAGATCAAGGACCCGAAACCCGGGACACACCGCGAACGACTCATCTCCCCTGAGATCCCCGGCGCACAGCGACGAGGATGACTACCGCACCCCACTATCCCGGGAGATCATGGCAGCCCCCATACCCCAAGGAATGGAAAAACCACCGACGCTGTCAACGTACGACGGCACCTCCGACCCGGACGATCATCTGGAAGATATCGAGGCTATGCTCGACTACCGAAATGTCCGGGGAGCTATTAAATGCAGACTCTTCCCGACGACTCTGAGGAAAGGCGCTATGACCTGGTACAAAAGCCTGGAGCCCGAATCAATTACATCGTGGAGGGTCTTGAAGGACCTATTCTCCAAACACTTCACAGCGTCCCGGCGTCACCCGAAGACGGAAGCAGTCCTCGGGGCGATCATCCAAGGCCCCGACGAACCTCTCCGGAAATACATCGAAAGGTTTACTCGGGAAGCCGTACAGGTGACGACTTCCGACGAAATGAAACGCTACTTAATGGAGCAAGGCCTGCGCCATGACTCCAAATTCTACGAGGCCGTAGGCATACACCGGCCCACGTCCCTCCAAGACTTCCTCGACAGGGCCGCCCATTACATCCGGTTCGAGGAAACACAAGCGGCCAACTCCGCTCGCGACACCCGAGACAGAGAAGCCCCCCGCGGGCACCGAGACGACGGAGCTTCAAGCCACCGACGAGGAGGGGACCGCCGTCGGGACGACCGCCACCGCGAACCCCGCGAACAGCGCGAGTCACGCGGCCCGGCAGGAAGGTTCACCGAATACACCGCCTTGGTCGCTTCACGCGAACGCATACTGGCAGAATGCGCTAAAACCGAGTTCGTGCAGGGAGGTGTCCGTTTTCCACGACCAACGCCGCCCAAACCCAACGTGGACAAGTCAAAGTACTGCCGGTTCCACAGGACCCACGGGCATGTAACAGAAGACTGCATCCATCTCAAAGATGCGATCGAAATCCTAATCAAAGACGGACACCTAAAGCGATACACCCGGGGAGGTGAACCACCCAGGTCGGAGGCTCCGGAGGCAAAGAAAATCGAGGAACTCCCCTCCCCAGAGGACGGCGAGAGACTCCAGGTCGCGCTGTGCGTCAGCCGCCCCGAGGATTGGTTCGCAAGCAGAGGATTCGGCATCCCCGGAGGACCCAGCCTAGTCGACGAGCCAATCCGACCAACCAGCCGATGGGAATACTTCCCCAGAGCCATGGTCATCTCTGACGGAGCTACGAGGAGTCTGTCCGTAGGATCTGTGAAAAGGAAATTCGACGAACTCATCGCGGGCAACTCCGGCAAGATGAGCACGCTCGACAGATTCCGAGGCCGCTCCAACCCGATCACGTTCTACCTCGAAGAACTACCCGGGGGATCTCCCAATTCCAACATACCCTTGCTCATACGTGCACGAATGGCAAACTTCGACGTCAGGCGCCTCCTAGTCGACGGTGGGAGCTCGGTTGACATAATGTACTCACATTTGTTCACAACCCTCCAGCTCGACGAATCCAACCTCTCCCCCTACGTAGGATCCGACCTCCAGGGGTTCAACGGGACGACGACAAGACCCTGGGGATACGTGGAACTGAAAGTCACCTTTGGGGAAGAAGAAACGGCCAGAGACATCAACGTCCGCTTCTTAGTCATCGAATGCCCGTCCCTATATAACTGCATCCTGGGCAGGACGACGATAGCAGAACTCACCGCGGTACCCTCCACCGTCCACCTGAAGATGAAATATTACACGAGAAGGGGAGCCGTGGTCACCCTCAACGGCGACATCGAAGCTGCCCGAAGGTGTTTCGAAGCCGCGCTGAAAGGCCTCGACTCCATCGCTCCACCGACCAAAAAGAAAGCGCCAAGCGCTACGCCAAAGGACAAACCAACAGAGCTGGTCGGATCAGTTGAGCTCGACAATCGCTTCACCGACGAGCTCGACAAGAAAAAAACTGACGAAGCCAACGAGCAGCCCCCGCACCCAGCGCGCCCCATCCCGGATGGCGAATTCGAGCTCATTCCTCTCGGGGACGACACGACCAGAACCGTGAGGATAGGCGCAGGACTCCCCGACCTCGCGAAACGACAGCTCCAAGCCTGCCTCCGCGAGAATGCCGACCTCTTCGCCTGGAGCGCCGCGGAAATGCCGGGACTCGACCCTGAGGTCGCCTGCCACCAGCTGTCCATCAGCCCAACCGCAAAGGCCGTGGTACAACGCCGACGTCGTCAGTCCCCCGAAAAATCGGCAGCAGCCGAACAAGCTGTAAAAGACCTCTTAGAGGCAAATTTTATTTCGGAAGCCCGGTATTCCACCTGGTTGTCCAACGTTGTACTTGTTAAAAAGAATAATGGAAAATGGCGCATGTGCGTTGACTACACTGACCTCAACCGGGCATGTCCTAAGGACGCCTACCCCCTCCCTAATATCGACAAGCTCGTCGACAACTCGGCGGGCTACAAACTCTTATCCTTCATGGACGCATACTCGGGATACAACCAGATCCCAATGGCCGAACACGACAAACAGGCCACGGCCTTCATGACAGCTTCGGGCAATTACTATTACAACGTGATGCCCTTCGGCCTCAAAAACGCTGGGGCCACGTACCAACGGATGATGAACCACGTCTTCCGCGACGAGATCGGGGACATGCTCGAGGTCTATATGGACGACATGATCGTCAAATCCGGCACGGACGACGACCACACGGCACACCTCCAGAAGGTCTTCAAGACCGCGAGATCATGTCGCATGCGTTTTAACCCGGAGAAATGCACTTTCGGCGTCTGCGCCGGCAAATTCCTCGGCTACTACTTGACCGAACGGGGGATCGAAGCCAATCCGGACAAATGCCACGCCTTCTCCAATATAACCACGCCGACCACGAAGCGTGCCATCCAATCCCTCAACGGCGTGCTGGCCTCCCTCTCGCGATTCATCGCGAGATCGGTCCAACACGCCCTCCCGTTCTTCAAACTGCTCAAGAAAGAGACCAAGTTCGAATGGACGGACGAGTGTGAGAGAGCCCTTCGCCACCTCAAACGCGTCCTCTCCGAACCGCCAGTACTGACGCGCCCCGCGACGGCCGAAACCCTGTATTTATATCTGGCCGTCTCTAACGAAGCCGTCAGCGCCGTCCTCGTGAGCGAAGCCGGGGAAGGAAAAAAGCCCATTTACTTCACTAGCAAAGCCCTCCACGGCCCGGAGGCCCGATACCAGCTGATCGAGAAAGTCGCCCTGGCCCTC